ACCACTCTAGCCTGATTTTTTTGTTTTCTATCTTTCTCATGTTAACTAAATTGGCAGGCCCTATCTGCCTGTGAAATCCTGATCCTGTTTGAACTAGAAGCTAAGCAGGGCAGGGCCTGAATAGTACTGTGATGGAAGATGGCTGTGGTGCTGCATCGATTATTTTGGTCAAACTAATCAATTATTGCTATATTTGTCAACTAAATTATTTGAATTGATATATTGTTATTGAATATAACATAGACTTGAACATGGGGGGTTTTATGACTCGGATACTATCATTTTGAATCAAACCGAACGTGTATCAAGTCGTCTCTATGTAGCTTTTCCCCAGTGGCATCACTTTGTTTTGGCCTTTTTCACTTTTGGGATCCAAACAACTCATAGATATCTTGAAAAAAAGAATTGTTACTTACAGTCATGTGAAGAGTGTCCAGAAAAGCACAATATAAAATGTATGCATTATTAATATTTATTATACTATTATACTTTTTTTTTTACACAAAAACTTGGTTGCTTGGTTACTTACTGACTCACTATGTTACTATTTATCAATTTACTCATATTTATTAGTACAAAGAATTAATGAGTGAAGACTATGGTTCTATATGGAGCCAAATCACCTCAATTGTGGATAATTTTTTTTATGTTTGGAAATACATACATTTGGAAAATGACTTATTAACTTCAAGCTACTTTAGGTTATATTTTATAAGCATGCAGTTACCTACATTTCTCTCATTTTAGCTAAAGAAAATATAGCTTGTGAGAAACTATTGAAATATTCATCTTTCTAAAGCAATTAAAAGTTGCATGCGGTGCTCACTTTCAAGTACAATTAAAGAAGAAATTATGCAGATAAGATTTAGAATTATTATTATTCAGTGACATTATATATTAGGGTGTGATAAAAATATTGTATTCGAGTTAGATGGATTGAGATAGGATTATTAGAGGTTTAGAGATAAAGAGATAGATGAGAGATAGAGTGATAGCAATAGAGAGATGAGAGCTAGAGGTAAGATAGAGGAGACACAACTACTGTGTATATCTCTTTATATTTTGATCATATTGTATCATTGACAAATATGTCAATTATACATTTCCCTGTAACCCTTGTTGTATATAGACAGAAATGAAACTGCAAAACTCCAGATATTTTTCCCACTGCTCTAATAAAACAGTTGTTGTATATTTAATAGAAACTAAAGCTATGATGAATCTTGAAGTTGGCTCTTGGTTAGATCTGTCTGTCACTCAGAAGAAGAGCTGTGAGGGAAAAACAAAGAGCTGCATCAAACAGAGACGCACAGAGGCGAGATAAAAAAGACTTTGTGTGACTGTAACAAGGTCGTATCACAATTCAATAAAGTATCATTACCCTCCACTCTTACCTGGAGCTGTAATGGTCTCATTCACGCTTGCTAAAGTTGCTTTATTATTCCTCGTTGCGTAACTGCCTCCATATACATTGCTCTGCACTTATGGGAAAACTGTGGGAGTAGGAAGCACTCATTATAGATGAAAAACTCACAAACAAAAACAAATCAAATCAAATCTGCAAAATGTTCTTGAGGTGAAGTGGAAAAATAAGTACATTGCTTCTACCTTAGGAATGGACTGACCGAGTTCTAATCTCACATAGTTTGCTGAATGCGGAAGAAGCCATTATTGGCATTTCTACTGATGCCGTTTGCTTTGCTCATAACAGAGGAAGACAAGGTGCTAAGATGGTTGTTAAAGCTTGAACTTTTCCCGTGAATGAAAACATCTATTTGGTCCATCCCCTTATGGTTCATAACTGGATTTAAAAAGGCAATATCAAAATATGATTTCTGGGTAGGGAGGGGGGGTGGCAATCAGAGCTGCCACCCAAGTCTCATAGCACCAGCCCCTCGCTGATCCTCCTGGAGGTGGTGGGTGCACAGGAAGATGGCTTCTCAGTCATCGACGAGATGGCCTTGGTCTTTCAGTGGGGGCTTCAGGCAATGTGGGGTTAAGTGTCTTGCCCAGGGACACAAGGACAGCAGACATCAGTGGGAGCAGGTGACATGGGCTGTGGTGGGCTCGAAGCCACAACCATTGGGTCCAAAGACCAGTGCTCTACCAGCTGAGCTAATCTCGCGGCACACCACCTGGGAAAATGTAAAAATATATACTCTGTAGCCTATAATCACAATATAAAGTCATTCTCATCAAAGTGCTTAAATAGACATCTAGGCCTTGACAATTAGCTTTGTTTTATATTTCTCAATACAATGAGTTAACAAGAGTTTGGGAATAAAGTGGAACTAACTGTGTGTCCCTGGTTCAGTCTGCCCGTCCATGGTTCTGTCCCCTGAGTCCATGGTTCTGTCCCCTGAGGCCATGGTTCTGTCCCCTGAGGCCATGGTTCTGTCCGCGAGTCCATGGTTCTGTCCACGAGGCCATGGTTCTGTCCGCGAGTCCATGGTTCTGTCCACGAGTCCATGGTTCTATCTGCACTTCTAAAGTTCTATTCTGCGCGTCCATGGTTCTGTCTGCGCATCTAAAGTCCGCGCTCGGTACTACGGATGTGCGTTCGCTGAGCTGTTGTCAAAACGCCTGTCAGTACGACGCTGCCACAGCTGCCCCGGGGTCAGAGCGGAGGATGTGAATCCTGTTCAGAAATAGCATAATTTATTTTCAAAAACATCTCCATCACTTTCACTTCTCACCATGCTCACGAGCCACAATGCTCCTGCTACCTGTTACATTTGTTGGTCGCGTCCAATTCTTACGCTTCTCGCCACATCCCTACCTGTTACATCCTGTGGTTGCGTCCAATTCCTACGTTTCAAACTACTTAGCTATCTGCTGCCACCTACTGGCATGAAAAAGTATTATGTGGTTACTCCACAGTTCAAAACAAGTCAGCACTCGCCAACGGTTAGTTAGTTTTAGACAAAGTAGGGAAATTTCCCACGGCACATAAGACAATATCATACGGCACACTATGTCCCGCGGCACAGTGGTTGAAAAACACTGGTCTATGATACAAACCATAAAGTACATTTTCTATAGTTTTACAGATGGTTAGGGCTTGGTTAAAACAACCTTTTTCACAATATGACTAAAAATAAAAGCCCCTCCACAAAACCTTTCAGCAAATAAAGCCTGTGGAGTGCGCGGTTATACGAGTATTAAGTGTGAAATGTCAAAGCAAAAATCACAGTCAGTTTGTTTTATTTTTTTACGCATTAGAAAAATAAAATTGGTCTAATTTTGGTAGCAGTGGGGGTTTGTTTATCAGCCAGAGGTTGGTGGTTTGACATTCACTCTTTTCACACTGCTTGAGTTTGTATGTACCAACAGGCCAAGCAATGTTACACAGTGTGGGACATCAGCAAAAACACTCCGACAAGGAAAAAAAATACATCCTAACACTCATACCATGTGACCTGCATTGTATTTTAAGAGAAGAGATTTAGTAGAGAGGTTGTCAGTGTGGCATCAGTGCAGAGGGAGTGAAGCAACTGTGGTTTACAGATGACATGGTCTCTGAAGGTCACACAGAGACCTCCACTCAGGGTCACTGAGGGGGAACTTGAAATGTTTTTTTTTAAATGTGCAAACATTGATAGTAAGTGATTGATATGGGCTACTACTATATTAGCACTTTTTTATTTCTCTGATGTTAAGGAGTCACTTTGTTGGTCTAACCAGTTCAGCATTAAGAGGCCCATTGCTGAGTAAAGTTGGTTATGTGACAATAAAACTATTATTATCTTTAGATAATAAATACTACCTTTAGATAATAATAGGCTTATGTGCTTTATTTTATAAAGCCATGTGTGTGTTTTTTTCTATAACCTGTTTTAATATAGACTCTAATGAGTCTATATTATAAGTATGTATAGGCTAAATCCCAATTGAATATGTTCTATTTATTGTGCAACTCATCCGATATATTCCTAAATCTGCTTTAATTTAGCCACTATAAAATACTAGTCATTTGAATCGGGATGCATCCTGATCAGGGAGAATATTGAACTGAAATCATGATTTGAAGCTAACTTAAATAAATAGTAGTTGTATCGTGAAAATGTGAATGGCTTTGGACAGAGATCGCTCTTTCACAGTGCTCCAAGGGGCTGCTCAGGGACTCTGTTATTGCTCAGACCCATGGAAAATCAGAGGGAACATTGCCTAAGAGTACACTTGGGCAGCACAGCGGTTAGTACATGTACATACATAGTACTTCAGCTTCAGGCGGAGCCTTTCACATGTTCTGCCTGTGTCTTTGTAGGTTTTCATCCAGGTGCCACAGTTTCCTTATCTGTAAAACATGTACAATAGGTCTGAGCGTAATGAGTGAGGCTTCTTCTGTCATCACCATGTGGAGAGAATCGTACACCAACAATCTGTCACAAAGTGAGATGATGCAGGACTCAAATGCAGGAATGGAAAAATATGTATTTTTTTCATTTATGCATTTAATGAAAAAACAAAAAGTCCAAGGTAATGAAACAAATTCAAAATCTAAAAGGGTACCAGGAACACAGACATGAACAAACAATGACAATACAATGAACCAGCAACAAGAGGAAAGGAGCACAGTGCATACATAGAGACACAGACACAAATCTGGGCGGGGCAGACAAGCAACACAGGGGAACAAGACAGGACAACTAAAACCAAACCACAGAAAACTGATGTCAAAATGAAACCAAAGTACAAAAAGAAAATCCACGCCATAACACAATCATCCACCAACCAAGAGCAACCTTGGTTTGTGAAATAGCTTATTGCAATTAAAACAAGTTGCAAAACAAAATGCATGCTTATTTCAGTAAAGTTTATCTCATTATGGGAAGTATCAAAACAAAACCAAAAGATTGACTCAACTGCCCCGGAGCATCTGCTGTTGTTAGACCCTTTAAACTCCAAAAACCCGCTCTGAAAAATGACCTTATGAATAAAATATATAGTATATGTTGCAGTATATATATGCATTTGTTATGTTTAGTTTTATGTTATAGGTGCCACATTCGGGTGATTGACACCTTTGGGACAGAACCCGCCTACAACCACGAGGAGTACGCGACTCAACACGGGTACAGGACCAACTGGGGCTACTGGAACCTCAACGCCAGGCAGTATATGACTATGTTCCGTATGTATCCACTTACTATGATCACTGCTCACATGTCCAGACTGTTTATTACACATATCCATTACTGTCTATTATTTCTTCTAGTCATAGGCATAGTCAACAACGAACAAGAAAACAATTTCATATTCATAGATTGACTGAGAAATCTACAATAGGAGTATTCTTGAAAAATAGATTAATATGTATTATTTCATTTCTTTTTTTTCTTTCATTTCATATCTTAATTTTTAAACAGATTCTTTATACTGTATACATATGTTTTATTTTGTAATATCAAATTTTAGTCTCAAATATTTTTCAGATATTTTTTTCTGGTCCCATAATTTACTCTTCTTCATGTTTCACAGTCCATCCAAATCACATGTGTGAAAATAATACACCATACAAGACTCAAAAATTATAGCAATTTCTTCACCTTAGAGGTGATTAGTGAGGCATTAGTTGTTGAAGTTTCTGCTGTTAAACTGCCTGCTTTATTTGCAAAGGTGGCAGGGAAGTTAAATATGATTGTTTTTAAGGATATAATAACAATAGGTCCCATATTACGCCTTTTCACCTATCTATGCTTTAAACATCATTGAAGTGCTGTGTTTTTCCATTTATTCCCTCAAATTTATTTAAAAAGCAATCTATCTCTTTCATTCTCAAGAGTCAGCGAAACGCCTCTGTTCAATTTGATGCCATGGCACCGAGCTGCAGAAAACCGCCTCCAGGAGGCGCTCACCAGTGATTGACAGGGGAGTAATCAAAACAGACATGCCCACAAACGTGCCTGAATCAGTGTGTGCCGCTTCTCTGTCGAGTCCCACGTGTGCCACAGTCATGCAGCGTGCACAAATTCAGTCTGGTAGAAGTCAACTCTGAGGACTTAACAAAACCATTGAAATCACCAACACAGATCAGAGAATCAACAGTTAAAACACATAAAGAATATAGAACACATGTTTAAAAAAAAAAAAAGAAAAAATGTCCATATATGTTGTAGAATATTCAAGTGTCCTGGATCATCACCACATCCTTTTAGTTGGACACTAACTGCCCAACAGACAGTAGTTGTATAGTAGAAGAATAAAGGATTTCTAAAAAATCCACTGCATATGAAACTTGCCAGATTCCATTTCAGTTTTTGGGAAATTGAAAAATAGTGTTATCGTTTGGCTTCGCACAGTAGCAGTCATTTTCTTGAATGTAATGTTTTGTTGTGGGCTCTGCAAAATAACAGTGTTGGAACGGTTTTATCAAAACAGATTAAAAATATGGCTGCCTATTTTGGTAGAGTAGTAGAGTATTTCATAAGAGATATTAAAGTATTTTAAAACAAGTCTTTTTATGTTGATGTGAATATGAATATGTCTGACCTTGAGCAGGCTTGCATCTCCATGGACTCGCTGGGGGCATTAAACATATGTGTCACCATGAGGAATGTTTTGACTTTTTACAGAGTTAGATGGAGATTTACCACCCCCAGAAAGCCACACACTGTCCCTTTAATTCCAATATTTTAAGTATTTGCTGTGGTGCAAAACAAATGTATACAAATTATGCAATCCCGTTTTTTTTGTACAACCCAAACCAACAGTTGTCATCTCGAGGGAGCGTCAAATTATTGTTGATTTGCCATCAGCAGTTTTGAAATTCAACAATTGAAACAAAACCAAAATTCAATAGTAAAACAGTCCACCAATGTCCATAAATGACACTGGTCCAGCTCATTCCCTGGCCTTACACCAGGCATGTCCAAACTAAGGCCCACGGGCCAATTGTGGCCGCTCGTGTCATGTCTGCCCGTCATGACCCGTCGTATCCCTTTAGATAATTTAAATGCAAAATCACAGTGTCATCCATCCAACTTCAGCTCTGCCAATATACTCATGTACAGTAAAGCGCAGAACCACTTGAATGCAGGCGTTGACTTGAATTGTATGTGATTTGTTATTGACTTTTGCTTTTGGTTGTGTCACAAAATCCTGTATAGAATGCTAATATTGCTGGTGAGATGCGCATATTTCAAAGCTCAGAACAGCTGAAACAAAAATAACAGCTGTACACTAGGGTTATCAGCCTCTGAACATGTCTGATCAAACTTGAGTGACCTCTTACTATAGGATTTGCACATCTCTGCCTTAGACCATCCTACATCAGCAAGGAAAAACTCAAACACAGTGGGAGAACTAAGAAACCCACACACATATGCAAATGGTGCAAATAAACATTCAATCCAGTTTAGTCTTGCAGTAACAGTGCCATGTTGGTGGGTGATTGGTTTGTCCTTGGCAGCTCACACTGCAGACAACTCGTTCATGGGCTTTGTTGTGGAGGAGGTGAACGAGACGGAGCGGCTGAGCATTCAGAAGAACAAGATCCACAACATGGCCGTGGTGTACGGAAAAGATGCCAGCATGTGGCAGGTCAGGGCACTGTTTCCTTTACAAGTGGACTTAAAGCTGGGCTACCTGACTTTTGAACCACAAACATTTGAATTACATGTAATTCAATACAGATCTACTATCACTAGTTTTCATATACATTATTTTGATTGGTCTATTTCTCATCTTTAGATCAGTAAAACAAGTACTATTGATGAAATGTATTAAATCAAAATGAAGTATATGGACTTAGCTAGTGATCAATTTCATTATTAATATCATTATTTCAAGTCACTGTATAAATTACCTGTCCTGTATCCATCTTTTAAGCCCAACAAATGCTTTTCTTACGGGAAAAACCCAGAATGGATGTTTTTGTGTAACTACATTTGTCATTGGTGCTCCAGAAACCACAGCTACTTTGAAGCACATTCTCTCTCCCATAAGGTTTGAAAACACTCGAATCCAGCTGAGCTTTTCTTTACCTATAGCACAGGCCATCTCTGGGAGCAGACAAACCTTGTAACATAAACAACTCTGTCTCAAAACATTTCAGAGAGAGAGAGAGAGAGAGAGAGAGAGAGTGAGAGAGAGAGAGAGATTCACATCATGTTGTGCTTTTCTGTCACAAGGACAGCATTGAGCACAATGTTGTCCTGTTTTCTCCTAACATATTTTGTATTGTTGTCATGCTCCGAATGGATTCACACAGCTTGAAGTAAGTATACACAAAATACCTCTATTTTACTTAAAGTAGCAGTATGTAATATTTGCATGTCAGTCAAATGGCCCCAATATTTCAAAAGGCATTATTAAATCATGCTCTTTTCGAATACATCTTTAACTGATAACAGTAGTTCAGCCGAGATATTTGGATATCAAAATTAGTTTTACGACCCGTAAAAGTTGTTATTGTTTTCATTCCGATGTCCTACCCTCCGCCGTTTTGCCAATCAGGAAGTCCCATGGAAGTCAGTGATCCGTGTTGCCAGAACTCCGCGCGGCTAATATTCACTGGTAAAATAACATGTGGCCGCAGAACTAAAAAAGGTCTTGTTATGATTCTCAAATCATTAATGACAAAATAAAGACTAAAAGGAGGATTTATATTGGGACGCCTGGGAAAAATTTACTCAGCTGTGAAACTTTTCGTGTGATGCAAAACTTGCTGGTTTGAGTGCGTTCTTTATTGACATTTAAATTGGCTGCATCCAGAGCACCTTCTATCCCGTGTAATGGTGGTCTAGTCAGGGGTTCCCAACGTTTTTAGCATGCGACCCCCATGATAAATACGCTGCTCTCCCGCGACCCCCCACCTCAACACCCCTTCCCGTCACATGAAATGAGGACGTATTTCCTTGATTCGGAGGAACGCTTTATAGAGACTCGCGCCACTACCAGCTGCACTTGCCAGCCCAAAATAAGACCATATTTTTACTCGCGTAGTGACGCAAATGATGGGCTTGGTGGGCTCCCCCCTTAGCAGAGGTGGAGGGCATTTCTTGCGGCTCGCCCTTACTGTTCTCCGACCGCGGTAAAGAGACCCGGCTTTTCGGAGTGAGCGGTTAAAACGTCCGCACATTAAAAGCGGGCGGCCGCTTTATGATGGTAAAAAGTGCATCGTGGCGGTTCATCCCATCCCCGCGGCTTCTCGTTCCAACGTGACCGTAAAGAGCAACATAAAGTGGCCACCCGCTTTTAATGTGCGGCCCTCTTTTTCACTGACTCTGAAAAGCCGGGCCTCTTAACCACGATGTTCTCCGCTGCCCTCTCTCCCTCCGCCGTCTTCACACCATCAGCCTGACCTCTGGCACATTTGACCTTTCTCCCCCTCTGGGTTTTTATGTTGTGGATATTAACCACATTTCATTTTAAAGCCGGTGTTATTTGTTTCTTGCCTCTAAACACCTTTAGCTTTAGCAAACAACAGCAGGACACACTTTGTCGCTGCGTAACTTGATTTTCATTGACGCTGCGCTGACTGGGACAAAATTACAAACGTAATTAAAATATATTATATTCTTTTCAGACACTTCTCCAAACACAATTTAACAAGTAGTCCTTTTGAATTGAATTAAATGCAAAATGAATATTTAAGGGCTAAAAATGTCGTCCATTTTTGTTTCGGAAATCATCTTGTGACCCCCCCGGGGGTTGGGACCCCCACTTTGGGAACCACTAGACTCTGGTGGTTAAGCCTTTGAGCTTACATTTCAGCGACCCAGGTTCGAGTCCGGGCTGGGTCAATTTGTATTTTTTTGCACAATATCACATTCCATGACAAATTGCTCAAAAAACGGTAAAAGACAAAGATCAAGGTGTTTTTTGCAGATTATTGCTTGATTGTAAAAAGAATAATTTGAGACCACATGTACCCCAATTAAAATGTTTGTCTCTTTTTGATGTGGGACATATGAAATATGTTCCAACATTCATTCTTCCCACTCCTATTTTGGACAACAATTGCTTATTTATTTTGCATAATCAATGTATAATTACATTGCTTTTATTTTGTTTTTTGCTTTATCTCAAATGTCCAAATAAAAAAAATTAAAAAAACATTAATTCAAAACAATCATTCAACATTAGCACGGCTATCATAGCATGGTGAATGGAGACAGACAAACAACTGATAGAATAATTCCTTGTGTTTGCTGCTGGATTTGGTGTGTATCTGGCAACCTGAGTCAGGAAGAGTGGGAGAGGACTACAAAATATTGACCATGACTGCAGCACCACTTTTGCCCAGATTTGTATATGTTGCTCCTTTAATTTTTTCTTGTCTCCTTTAAGTTTGCATTATGATTAATCCTTGGAATCCCCATACTGCTGTGTGTGTTCAAATTATTTCAAACTGCACTACAACCTGGAATTTCTGGCCAAAACTGTTACATGGATTTGGGGACTAATTACAGAACGGGGAGGGGCGGCAAGACAATTATGACTCTCTATAAGACAGAGGGAAGCTTGTTGTTTTACAGATATAGAATTGTTACGATTGGCGCAAACATGCAGACACATATGCTAAATGGCTCCGAACAATCACAAACCACACCTCTCCCACACACCTCTATCACTTGTACATTTGTAGTCTGTTGTTAGCCAAGGTTTAATGATAGATGCTTTTTAACAAGTGAGTGCCCTGCTTGTTACACCATTAAGACAATAAGTATGTGAGTGTATTGTTCTTGTTTCCTCATGACCGACCTTACTCTAAAACGTAATTTCAATTTATTCTTTAGCCCTAAATCACAACAGTAGTTATCTCGGAGGACTTAAAAAAACTGTTGAATTTGCCAACACAAATCAGCGAATCAACAGTTCATCACAAGAAATGCAATAATAAAAACACGTATGTCCTTTGCAGTGCTGAACTTAGAAGCACAGATAACTATGAATAAAGCTATGAATAACGTCACATGGAAACCAGGTTAACCACTTCAAGCCTTATATAGTAACTTATTTCGAAATCTCAAGAGTAAAGATATTTGGGTTAAAAACTGACATGACCAATCAAACAGAACATCAACAGACAAGTGAATGAATAATGAGTCTATTATATCTGAAAATGTCTGACAAGAGATCCATATGCAAAAGTTCAGACTGGTCACAGCTTCTTACACATCAGGCTTACAAACGACTAATTTTTTTGTTTGATATTTTCCTTGCACTAATTACAGCTGTAAAAGCCACATGCCAACAAGACGGATGACTAGTGATAGTAATCAAAGCTGTGTTTCTCCCAAAGGGCAAAGACAGGTTCCTGGAGCTGCTGCATCACCACATGGAGATCCACGGCACAGTGTACTACGACTCGCAGCGCCCTCCGCAGGTGCCTGCCTTTGTCAAAAACCACGGGCTGCTGCCTCAGAACGAGCTCCAGCAGCTGCTGAGAAAAGCCAAGGTATTAGGCAGACACAGCTAAATGTACGCCTGCCTCCACAACACAAAAGCCATTCTGCCTTTCCTCTTCAGCTTTTTATAGGATTTGGTTTTCCGTACGAAGGCCCTGCTCCACTGGAGGCGATAGCCAATGGATGCATCTTCCTGCAGCCTATGTTCCACCCGCCACACAGCTCCCTCAACCACGACTTCTTCAAGGGGAAGCCCACGTCCAGGGAGGTACCGTCCCAACACATGCTATGTCCAGATGTGTTTGTAATGGTCAATTCTTTATAGCATTTTTATACTTTCAAGGAATTCAAAGTGCTTCACATCAAAGAACCACTCAGCCATTCATACACGCATTTATACAGTAGTGTGCACAGACACTGGGGTTAAAGTGGTTCTCACCCCCGCTCCTCGGAGCTTACGTCACTCACATTTCCTGTTCAAATCTTCCTCTAAATGGGCGTAGCCTGGAGGACTAAAGGGGGCGTGAACGAGACTGAGCCGTTTACATTGCTCTGGGCGGGGGGCTGCTGACGTCAGGTCCAACTTGCAGACGTCAGGTCCAACTTCTGTGCCAGTGTTGGCGCCAGATTCAAAATTCAAATGTAGTAATACAGGTCGCCAGCAGATGGCGCCTCACAGACGGTTTTAGGCAGAAAGTCTAACTTTCAACTAATTTGCACCAAAGTGACAAGATTATGACCAGGATATGTAGACAACACTATTGGACACTCATTTATACCGTTTATCAGCAAAAAAAAGTGGATTTGAGGGTGAGTTGTCCTTTAAGTGTCTTGCCCAAGCACACACGGTCAGAGTAAATGTTTTGTATTTTTAGACCTCAACAAAGTAACTGACAACTATGATGTAAAGAATGAGAAAATGATTCTCACAATTTCAATAAACTCATGTTTACACAAAGAAAAATCCAGTATTAAATGTGTTGTGGTAGTAGTCTTATAAGCCCCTTTTACTCGAGTAAAAGGAGAGTCTCAAGCAATGTCAGAGCGACACACTTCTCCCGACCCCAAATCTTCTTAGGTACGACCAAATTGTTGACGTCATGTCAACATACCTCTCTCCGATGTCCATATTTCAAGACAGTGTATACTATCTATACAGATGTCATAATCTGATGTACAGTCGTCCCTCACTATAACACGGCTCACCTTTTGCAGCCTCACTGTTTATAGCAGATTTTTTTATGCCTTTCATGTGCTCTGTGTATACTCCAACATCACCATATATAACCTCATAAAACAGCTAGTGTAACAAAACAGTTCATTTCATTTAAAGTCTACCGCAGTTTGTCCTAAACCCCCAGTCCTGCTCCGGCCCCTCAGCAGGGTGTCCTCTGCAGCTGTATTTTACGGTGCATGCACAGCTTTTGACAGCTGCAGCAGAGCACAAACCTACAACAAACAGGTTGAATATCTCCATGTAGATTTTGCTTATTGCGGGTTATACACTTGTGGTAAATGAGGGACCACTGAAAGCATATAGATGTGTGGATGTGTCTTCAGTGTTTGAATTGGTTTTTTGGGTGTTTTTTTGTGGGGGGTCAGGTGACTTCACAGCACCCATACGCAGAGCAGTACATTGGAAGGCCACACGTCATCACCATCGACTTTGGGAACTCGACCACCTTCAATGAGACCATACGCGAAATCATGGAGCTCAATGTAAGTCCATTTTAATATCAATAAAAGCAATAAAGACGCCAAAGCATCCATATATGACCTCAGCTTTACCTAGATGTTTGTTCAAGGTTGCTTACTGGAGCAACAAACACAACTTTCCTGGTTTTGCTTTTTACTTGGGATAATCTAATTTAAACATGAGGAATATGCAAGAGAAGGGAAAATCAAAATCACCGAACATTGAATACAATTATATATAAATAAACAAACAAATCCCTTAACCAAAAACCTGATTGGTCACTAAGTTATTCACGCAACATTTTTGAAACTGTTTTGCATTACCAAAAACACCAAACAGACAGTAAACACTATCTATACAGAATGTCTACCATTGGCAGTGCAGAAAAGTACCTCTGCAACTGATGATTCTGCTGGTGCTACTGCTGCTGCTTCAACAAATACTACCACTGCTACTGCAACAAAAACATGCTACTACTGCTACTACTGCTATTACTACTACTATTACTAGTGTACTGCTGCTGCTGCTACTACTGCCCTTGCTGCTACTAATACTTGAGATGGGTATGAGACAATATTACTACCACTAACGGTACCAATAATACTGCTACTACCCACTGCTACTAATACTACTACCACTGCTATGAAAATTACTGCTGCTACTGCCATTACTACTACTATTATTGCTGCTGTTGCTGCAACTACTGCTGCTACCAGTACTTTAAAAGATGGATATGAGACAGTACTACCACCACTAATTAAACTATTACTACTGCAGCAGCCCTATGGAATCTTCCAATAGATTTACTATCTTAATTTGCAATTGGAGAATCTGCCTGAAAAGTTACCTGGTGTACTACTACTACTGCCACAGCTGCTGTTCCTGTCATTACTGCAAGCGCTACTAGTGCTACTGCTGCTATTTCTCCTGTGGCTGCACAGCGAGTGACTGTAGTCTGGAAATGGAACTGGAAAGCTGTCCACATCATATGGATATACACCTAATTATGCTTAAAGTCCGGGTGACTATAGCTGAAATCCTGTTCAACGGTTCTAAAGTTAAAGCCCTAGCAATAATGTGTTTAAATGTAGCTCTTTTCACAGTCGAAGTCTGCAGCTTATTTGCACACTTGAAACTCTGACCCATTTTTGAAACCCTGTGTAGCTAATGGGGCTCTAAATCACGGTGGCGGCGGCCGATAGCAGACTGCTTAGATAGCTCTCTGCAGCGTGTCGCTAATTGCTAAAGAAGTGTGAAAACGCCTTCTACACATCTGCTTTTTGACACGCTGTTTTTCCACAGGCTGGCCCCTTCAGCAGCGAAGCATTGTCAACACATCATAATTAATCAACCTGTTCTCAATCTGTCACTAACATTATGCAAAACATGATTTAGGCGGGTTGAGCGCTGTGTGAATATGGTTGGCAAATGTTCTCGCAAAGTCCTTTCATTATTATTAGTGATTAAAGCTGTACTATGCCACTTTTCCGATGGGGATAGGGATCCTGCTTCTGTCTTTAGCGATGCAATGTCACAGTGTGGCATAAGGCAAAAACATTTAACTTGATTCTCCAACTATTTGGAGAAAGGCAATTGGAAAACATTCTTACTGTTGGCTCCAATCTCCCTTGATCTGGCTTGTTACTCAATTTGGAAGCATTACCTGCTTGTCTACATGAACAGAGACGGATAGAAGTGAAATGCCCTACTATGCAACTTTCCAATAGAAAAACCATGTCTGTAGAGACAAAAAATCAACCTAGAAAGGTTTGTCGTTGGTTTGATTCCCATGCTGCCTTTCTTTGTGTTGTGACAGGGGTTTCTCCAGGTGCTTCGAATTCCCCCACCACCCACCCCCACCATCTTTATTTAAAGTCAGAATAACATTATGCTACATAACACACAGCAATAACATTGTTGTGTGTTTTAGTTCAGATGACTACCGCATTGCTCTCTGCAGCTGCATTTTACAGTTTATGCATGGCTTATGACAGCTGCAGCATCGCTAAGACCTACAACAAACAGGTTTGATATCTCAGTGATCGGACTTCAGCAGTTGTGAGTTCAGTTGGTTAGAAAAAAAGTGTATAACGTGTGTGGTGAGGGGTTTTACAGCCTTAAGACATACATCTGCAACTTTCTCACTGGGGGTTATTTTTAGAATGTTACCCCCTACGATAAACTAGGGACCACTGAATAACATCCTACAGAGATTAGATTTTGTTTATTGTTTAAAAATATTGGTTTAAAATGACTTAATAAAAATGGCAGCAATGGCTGCTGAGTATAAAGCTCAACCTCTACAGAGGAAGTTTTGAAGAATGACTGAGGAGGGAAAGGTGAAAACAATTTTGAGAATCAATAAAAATCCAACTTTGAGAGAGCTAAGTGCCTCCAGTTTCATTTCACTTCAGCTTTTAGGTCAGGCATCACATAAATGCAGACGTCTCTGAGAACCAGGAAGTACTGCTCCCATTTTGTAATTTAACAAAGCAGTAAACAAAGTAATGGAAATGGATGTAAACCAATCCATACAGTCTGTGTTGGAAAAGATCCCGAAACTGAGGATTTAGAGCCAGAACAGAGTTTGGAAGTTTGGAGAATTTAATCTATGGGGAAAGATGTTATTGTCATGTTTCCTACATACTGCATCTACAGTATTGGCTCTTCTGTGGAGCAAACGAATCATAACGTTTCGATTTCAGACAGTTTCCACAAAGTCAAATGAAAACGCCTGATGGATTAGGCTTGGAAGATCAGGCCCTATGATTATCAGTGTTGAATGTTGAATAACAAACTTTGAGTCTGAGTGGAGTTTGTACGTTCTCCCCGTGTCTGTGTAGGTTTCCTCCGGTTGGACCAGTTTCCCCTACCACTAAAAAACATATACAATAGTTTGTGTGTATTTGTGAGTGCGAATGTAGGTTAAACATATAAAAAATATCCCAAGGCTACAATCTAGAAAGGTGTGGTCATTAACATGCACTGTCCCAGCCAATTATAAAAGATAAAAAACTGACAACTAACAATTTATGTAAGCACAAATATATCAACATTTAGTACTTTTGCACATGTATATAAACCAACAGTTAATGGAGTAAAAGCTGATAGACAACTGTTTTAACCAGAGGTCTTTAGGTGACTTATTTGTTTGATAAAAGTCAAAATTGAGCTGTTCCAAAATAAAATAAAAATATATACATTGGCAATATATGCTGCAGAATTAAAATAACTAAAAATGAGTAACGTCTTTTAGTCCAGCAAGCATCGTACGTGTTGTGGTCACCTGTGAAATGCTCTTGGCAAATGCATTAAACAATCCCTGAAACGGTTTCTTTCCAGTGAATATTCGCTTCTCTCTCGCGCGCCCCGTCTCGATTATGCAGTGATGGCCAAAAGGCAAAAAGCGTGGTGCAGTAACTGATGAAGTGTCAGATACATTTCATTAAACACAGATGAAATAAAGTAATAACACACAGCGCCAACACAAGCCATTTGTCAATAGAAGTAAACAGTATTGTAGCTGATGTCATGCTAAACTGAAGACTATAGTCGCTGCTGGAAATGGAAATGTTTGTATTGGTGTTGGTACTGTAGTTGTGACATATACTGTATACATGGACTGGCCTAAAGGAGAAAAACACATAATTGACACTTATTTTGGTCAACTGGATTAAATAGTGTTGTGGCATATAAAGAAAGACTTTTCCTGTTTTGTGCATGTTTTAATGTATTTATGTATTTATAAATGTATACACAACTGAAAACGTTTCAGCCCGGACTCTTCATCAGTGGTGGATCAAATAAATAAAAGAACATTATTTAAGAAAATCATTACAGAGATAATCATAGGAAGCCTTGTTGTTTTGCGCAGCACATTTTCCGGCGTGGTCCTACTTACTGTGGTCACTTGCTGTTATGATTAGTGAGCATTGGGTTCAGGTGGTTGTAGCTTTGAACAAAGACAAATAAACAGTGGAACAAAGACTGGCCTACAGAAGTTCTCTGACGCCATCATCGGATTCATCACTGAAGATGACGATGCAGAGTACAGTACGACGATGCAGAGTACAGCTTCAGCGACAAAAAGATTCACCATCGATGTGTGAAGGAGAGGTTCCACAGGTCTTTCCTTCCCTAGTCACTTTACTAAAGGCTAGTTACTTTACCTGCTGTTTTTATTAGTACTACATTATTACACATTCCATTCATTCATTCATTGATATTTCTGTCATCTACTAGTCACTTTACCGGCAGCTATTATTACTATAATTTACTCCGGTCCTATAGGCTCTATGCACGCGCCACTTCCGCCTTTCAGCTAAAGCCCCACTTCACTTCCTGTTCACGGGAAACAGCTTGAGTTTCACTGGAGTTCAGCAGTGGTTTACACGAGTTTCCCAAATAATGCTCAAACGGGAATTAAACTGTGAGGATACTGGGCATTTTTGGGACACAGCAGTGCTCTTTGATTGTGCTGTCATTGTGTTTTTATAAAGTTTAAAAAACGCTCTGAGTGGCCACAGTCAAAGCTCTACCTCTGAGAGAAAGCACAGCATCGCTTTGGGGTCAGTCTCAGCTGAATGTATCAATCTAATTACTAAAAAACGTCACTAAAACTCACCTAAATGCCATAGGATAGCATAGCAGGAAGTGAACGGGCTGTGCTTTGTTAACAGCAGTCACGCCTCCCCGTGCATATAGCCCATTCTCTGCTGCTAAAGTACAACATCTGTAAATACCTCCAGCTGACTACAGTGTACAGTATATATCCGCTACTCTCCTTGAACCAAGTGCAATTATTACTTATCTTAAAAAGTATTTTTGTAAAGATTAAAGCGGTGTATACCAGAGCATGATGTGAAGTGATGAGAAAGATGCTTGTGATTTTGGATACAGTATGTATGAATCCTCCAGTCACGTTCTTCTCAAGTAACCATTGACTTCACCAGGCTTAATCCACTGGGAACTGTGAAAGGTCCTTTTTTCATCCATTTTTGCAGCTCAGATACTACACACATGTACCTAATGTGATAACATCTATGTGTATTTGTCTGTAGGCCTTGTGATGATAGGAAGATTTTCGGTCTGCACAATTTTGGCCTGATATGTAACTATTTAAATTTTAATTTAAATTTATACATATAATTAATGTACAAATGTCTGACAAACATTGCGATACAATTTTCAATATAGAATTAAAAGCAAAATTCAAAATAGTTACTTTTGAAACTAAATACTTTCAGTAGCAATACAGAAAATGACTGCAAACATTTTAATATATGTAAGTATTTGAATTATGTTGTTTTTATCTTGGACAGTTGTACATTTTCTTTTGGAATGTGATAATACTCATTACTCTTAAAGGGATTGTCTGGAGTTTGTCAGAAAAAAGAGAGAGAGGTACAGGATTTGAAAAAAACAACCCAAGCTCCCTCCCCCTTCCTTTCTGATTGGTCTATACCTTACATACATTCGAATGTTAATCTGAGAACACATTTTACTTATACATTATTAATACACATGCACGGAGGTTTTCAGAATTATTTGTTAAAGTTTTCATGAAAAAAATAATGTTTCAATGCATGAAAAAATCGATTGCGGTAAACCCGGAAGTAGCTATTAACGTTGATTGAACATCGTAGGACACATCTGCAGAGGATCTGATTATGGATATAGGTTCAGTATATAAATGATTATGGATATAGGTTCAGTATATAAATGATTATGGATATAGGTTCAGTATATATGAGTAACTCAGCGCGGATGTTCAGAATTCTTTGTTCAGTTTTCATGTAGTTCCAGAGCCTGTGGAGGCTTGAATTCGGAGGCTCCGCAAAAACAAACAACTGAGCATGCGCGCAGCTACGAGCATCAGCACTGATGATTGACAGCCCTTGGCATCACTTAATTGGTTAACGTGGACGGCATTGTGGATTTCTAGCTATAGCTAAGAGAAGGGAAGGCGGGACTTACCCGTAATATTAGAATTAATAAAATGACTTATTTCATATCAATATTTAAGGCCAGGAGGTAAAATTTAATACAATTCTTAAAATGTGTAATTCATTTAGAGTTCCAGATTATCACTTTAAGATAAGCTAAGATAAGATAGACTTTATTGATCTCACACAGGATAAATTTACATGTCACATCTGGCAAGGATAGAATCACTCAAGGTTGTGCAAAAGAAAGAAATGGCAATCAAGAAACAGTGTGATTAGCAGTGCAGGTTTTTCAGTCCTAGTGCAAGTGACTTAAAGTGACTTATTGTACAGTCTGACAACGGTGGGGACTGTAGTGAACTCACAGCCTGTTGTCATATTAAAGTTTTCATTCTTTTAACACGTCCCCACCGAATAATTAGTTTTAAATTTGATTTCAGATGTCATTTTGTCAAACCAGAATTTCCCATTTACTGAGTTAATCCATTGTCTGACATTGACCCTGATTGCAATAAGAATAAGGACATCTATTTCCAAAGCTGTCATGTGTGAATTATTAGGTCTATTAGCTTTTTATATAGGCTCACATGAAGTAGGCCTTACACAATTACACTAATGAACATGTCAGTTCTGATTTACTCCTATTGACCTGAAATGTAATTACAGCAGTGATTTGTCTGTGAACGTGCAGGTGGAGCCGTACGTGCCACACGAGTACACCTGTGAGGGCATGCTGGAGAGAGTGCACGCCTATATACAGAACCAGGTAAGACTACTCTACTCTATACTTCAGATTCAGAGTCATTTTATTTGCCATTTGCAGTAAACCACTTTGGAATACATTTGCAAAAATCCTCAGTGTGCATCAGACAAGATCCTAAATAAAACAAGCTAAAACATACAGGAATAAAACAAGCTAAAAAAAAAAGGAATAAAACAAGCTCAAAGTAAAAAAATAAAATGAGCTCAACGTACTGAAATAGAATAAGCTAAAAGTACAGGAATAATACAAGCTAAAAAAAGACAATAGTCACCGTGAAATGGATCAACAAAAAAAGTTTCAATGCAAGATCATTAAAGTGCTTTATACTCTACAACTCAGTAAAGGCTTTTTCACATCGGCCCAAGTCTGAACAGCTCTGCAGTTAGCGCATTTTCACACTCTCAAATTGAGAAGTGTCGAGTCGCCAGAGTGGCCTACGTGGGTCCCAGCTTGAATGCAGAGCCAGGGCAAGCTCGGTTTGCAGACGGACTGGGCTTGCCATGTCTTCCCCCACATTGTGAGCGTACATGAACATGTGATGTGCGTTCTATGTGCTATGTGCTGTGACAAACTATGTGCTGAAGATAATGCATGTATTTTTTGGAAACACATGTGGACTTAAATGCGTTAATCTTTCACGTTCAGTTTGATGTGTAGAGAAAATTGCAAAGAGACAAGTGCAAAGACAAACTGCAGCACAAGTTTATACACACTCTCATTTTATGTTTTTTCCAAGTTTAGTTGAGAAAGATAGATAGATAGATAGATACTTTATTGGTCCCCTGTAGGAGAAATTCAGGTGTCCAGTACATAATTTTAAAGTAGCAATAGTAACAATAGTAGTATAATGCCACAGCACTTTGGACTGGTGCTCTGTGAACTGTGCAGCTCTGACTACCACCCCCCTGACCCAGACATGGATTAAGGGGAAGAAAATGGATGGATGGAGCACTTTGGGTCACAGCAGCAGAGGTGGAGTAGCCACTGGGTGGAGCAGGACAGGTCACAGCACAAGAGAGAAGATAATGAGACTTTTATTTTTGTTTTAGAATTTGAAATAATATCTACAGTAGAAAATATGGTGAAACAGAAGGGTAAAACAAGTGCTCATCCTACTCTGTCCCTATGCTACCACCAGATGGAGGATTATTGTTTTTCTGGTAACTGTGTGATGTCATAGTGTCATAATGACATCACACTAAAACAGGACTTTCCACTCACCATGTCACACACTTCCCGCAGGAAATGAATGGAGATGCAGCGGCGTGTGTCCAGCGGAGTTACATGTTTGTGCCAGTAGTTCTTGAAAAAACTGTGATGAGGGAAGAATGTTGTAAAATGGTTTAATGCCTTGAGATATCATAAATGTAAAGGGTTACATTCACAGGTTAAAGGCAACAATAAAAATGGTTAAAATACTATTACCTGATATTGAGAGCAAGCATTTTATATGACAATATTTGTCACATCAAAAAAAGCCACTTCAAGGCCCAGTCTCCGTGACCTTAAAGGCCTTATCACTTGAATATTACGTTTTGTATTTGTGAAGGCCAGATTGAACACTAACTATAATTCCACTTAAATAATGACTTCAATAACGTTAAGCAGAGGTTTAAGTGACTGATTAGATGGAACTGCCTCTGTGCTTGTCGTGCAGTTGCAGCCTCCTGTGATGAGGAGAACACAGTATAGGTTCCCAGCAGGAGAGAGAGCTGTTCCAACACAACACCTTCCCTGTCACTGATTCATGGGCTGTGTCTTGAAATAATTGGCAAAGTTAAGAGGGTCGTCAGCAATTTAAAAAGGGCTAATTAAATCTAAGGGTGGGCAATTGTTTTCTCCAGGGGGTATTGAGATGTCTTCATATTATGGACCTTTTCTTAGAAGTTGGCAAAACACATTTTCTCAACTTTAATAACACAGTGAAAGCTATTTCAGTAATCAAATTTGAAAAGAAAAAAATAAAAGATTTTTTTTTTATTCTATTTACAAAAATAGTTCAAGAGAAGGAGAGGTACTCGTGCAGCCAAGTTATCCAGGGTTTTGTGAAAAGCAGTGTTTCCACCGTAGGAACTTCGGGGTAATTTTCCAGGGCCAGCCCAACGGAGTCACTCCTCCATATGTACTCCGTTGGGCCCTGGTGGGACTTAAGGTTAACCCGGTGCTGATTGGCTAAAGCTAGAGCAGATTCTGACACCAGCAGAAAGCACCAAAACAACTGGCATTCAGCAGTATTAGCCCAGCAGCCTAGCAGACGCCACTGGAAACAGTGAACAACAGCACGGTGATTCAGACGGGGTTTGAGGCATCACGGCGAAATGAAAAGATATATGAAGACATATCAGCTTCACCTCGAAGCACTGAGGATTCATCACACTCCAAAACAAGCCGTGAAATGGTTTAAAAAACTGAAGCAGGACTATAAAATGACTCAAAGACCACAACAACCAGAGCGGTTACAACCGTAAAATAAACAAATGGGTTTGGCGCATGGATCTATAATAATAACGGGTTTGGCGTAATCAGTTTCGCTTTTGCGGCAATTGAAACTCATGACGTCGCCGAGTGGTCCTACTGCAGTGGAGACACGGCCACTGAGAGGACCGAGGGAGAGGACGGTTCCTGTAAAAGTTCCACCCCGCTCCTTTTACCAGGAACTCCAGCGGTGGAAACGTGGCTTATGTGTCCCACTAAAAGCATGTACAATGTACAATAGGACTGGCATGCGTGTCCTGTACGGTGACGTCACTCCCATCTCAGTGGGGAGTGAGCCGCACTTATCGTGAGCCCACAATTATTGTAAAGTGCTTTGTTACTCTGGTCTGTGAAAGGCACTACATAAATAAAAATGTATTACTCACTTACTGCGTATTTATATTGCATAATTTGCATCTGTGGCTTTTGTTTGAGTCTTTTTATAATAAGCAAGGAATTATTTTCAAAAAAATTGGATACTATTTTTTTTCCCTGAAAATACAAAATGGAGGGTAAAAGCAAGCCCAACATTTGTTAGCTTTTTTTCAAGCAAATGTTCTCAAGTAAACAACCATGTCCATTATTTCATTCTAAACATTCAATGCAAGTTAAATGCAAAAATAAAAGCAAAAATAGCCTTCTTTACGGCGCCGTAAAGATGGCGCCGTGGCAAGAGCTCTGGTGTGTGTCGTCTGGTGCACACCGGGGTAGTCTTGCACAGTTTTTCCAATGTGGTTTTACTGCAAATGGCAAATAAATGAATCTGAATCTGAATCTGAATATTCATTATACAAAAACATAAACATTAGAAATATACAAAAACTTGCCACTATTTTCCATGATTGATACTTGGTACAGCCTTAGAAAAAATGTCTCCACCTCATCAAAAAGAGTTGGATTCCCATGGTGTTGACTACATTTTTAAGCAAGACATGAAAAGGTATTTTTTTTATTTTTTTTTTTTAATGGCAGAGACAGTGTATATTAATGAACATTTCTGTAAATATGCCAGAATTAGCCAAGCGGATAATTTTCATCCGTAGTCCCGTGTCTCCTGAAAACACCACTCTTTGACCCCCAGTAGGCTTCCATGTATTAAGCCCCTGTGTACAATATTTTTTCCCTTTCTTAACCCATAGCTTAAAACGCACTGCACCAATTCCGCTCAGCGATACAAAACATTGCCTCGTTCTTAAAGCATGAAGCAGATTTCTTGTCCTTTTTTCTCTACTGGAGGCTATTTCAACATTCACCATAGAAACGAACAGCGTAACACAGGGGTATGTAGGGAGTACAGAGATGTCTGCGCTCAGCACCTCGTCTCAGCTTCTTTGTTGACAGGAGACACAACTTTAATTGGGCCGCAGCATTGTGTGAAGTGTATAAAGAGAATTTTGATGCCCACTGACTATGTGATTCTCAAAACAATCCAACACATACTTAAAGGCACCATTAAGGCATCTTTACTTCATTATTATATCAATCGCTTCTTCAACAAATCAAACAATTGATATTTTGGAGACAATTTTTACAGTAGTGTTGTGGATTTTTGTTTTTATCTTTTGGGCTATTTTTGAGCCATTTTCTGTTTCATGTTTCTGTTACTGATATTAAACTCAGAAATGGTAACGGCTTAAATACAAGCTTCCATTGGAAATCCATTGTTTCATGCAGACACATACACACACTTGCACACACAGCTAGTGTAATTAGCTACACATACGCACACTCGCACACACAGCTAGTTTAATTAGCTACACACACGCACACTACACACTCGCACACACAGCTAGTGTAATTAGCTACACACACGCACACTACACACACGCACACACAGCTAGTGTAATTAGCTACACACACGCACACTCGCACACACAGCTAGTGTAATTAGCTACACACACGCACACTCGCACACACAGCTAGTGTAATTAGCAGTCAAGAGGTGGATTTGCTCTTCAATTAGTTGCAGTCATAGTTATAAGTGAATCGATTTTTACAGTTTTACTTCTTGGGAAATTTAAATATTGAGAAGGCAGTAATTTGTTAGGTGCTTCAAATAGCTTTTAGGTCATTTTTTTTCAATGAAATTATATAGATTAACAGAGGAAACGGATTTATGATGCATGCTGAGAGATAAAGGGCAAAACCACATGGAATTGCACACAATATTTCAATTTGCACCCTCCCTACTACCCTCCCTCGCTACTTTAGGTGGTCCATTTTATCTATTTATAGACATTGAAGCAATCTTCATGCACTATACAACAACTGTTTTTTGCATATTTTTTTAAAGAGGAAAACTTTGTAGAGGAAAGAGCAGAACGTGCAAACACCAAAAACTTGATGTAAGAGCTTCACTCATAATAAGGCCCGTTTTTTCAGTGTGAATGAGGCTAAAACTGTCAAACAGATGTCAGCGGGAGTACCTCACCTTTTTTTTATTTAATGACTATATTTTTTCTATATTATGTGTGTCCCAATAGAAAAAGTCCTTTTAAGTAACATGTTGTGACTAAATCTAACCACAACATGTTGATTAGCTGAGTGAGGGCTGCATATTTCCCTTAAATAGCTATTCCCTTATAAATAGTCTATAGAATGTTCATCAAACAGTATAAAGCCGAAGTATCTATGGATTATGCAGTTATGGCTGGTGCAGAGCGGCTCAGACTGAGTGGGCACAGTCTCGATGCACAAGGTCACTGTACTCTCTCATTCCAGTACAAGCCAAAGAATGAGAGTCATTTCATTCTGGTGCAATTTTAAAACCCTGTTTAGAAAATTCAGGGTTTCCATTTCAAAATAGAAACACAAGAAGTGAGTTGTTCTGTAATGTTGCATTGCAGAAGGAGTTCTCAAATCAGGATGAGAAGCACACAGAATGTTTGTGCTTCAATATTATCCTTATATGTTCTTAAATGTATACAGCTTTGTAATCCTCTGTCCCTTTGCACGACCTTTTGAAAGCGACATTCATTCATCAGATTTTTCAGTTTGTTTTGTTCAATTCAGGCTCACATTTTTCATACACTGTTGAAAGTAAAAAATAAAAAAATAAAAAAGCTTGAATTTGAATAAAAGGGAGGTAGACAAGAGAGCAAGATAAACAAGAAACAGGACTCCAAATACTAAACTGTCCCACTGTCCCATTCATACATAGCCTGTATAGCATGTATAGCCTATATGAGGAGTGCACTGACAAAGTGCTGATGTCACCATAGTGTTTGCTGAATATGGAAGAAGCCGATTTAAACTGGATCCAATTTCCTTATATGGGCTCTGATGGCATTAGCTTTGTGCTGTAACAGGGGCAGACATGTTACTAGGATGGTTGCTAGGGCAAGCGGTTGTTTCCCCTACAAAGGAAGGCATCTGATTGGTCTATCTGGATTTAGACAATATTGAAATTAAAACACCAGATTATTTTTAGCACGGATCTTTAAAGCCCAAAATAGTGAGTGTGAGTCAAACAGCTACTGAGCCGGATAAATGTCCTGATTACTAAGTAGCAACTCATTAGCATTCTTTTAAGCATTGCTTTTAAAAAAAGTGTATTACCCATTAGAAATGGCCATTTAAATAGGCCATTAGCAAGTCAGTCTGAAAAAAATGGAATCCACATTTTCCTCAGAAAATATTGGTCGATGTCTAGTTAGTCCGACACTAAATTATATTCTGGACTTGACAGGTGAGTTGCAGGGTTTATTCCTGAATAGCAATTTCAAATGCAGTATGTGCTTTGAATATTATAGTTCAATAGCATGTTAATTTAGCCTCCCCTCTATCTCAGGTTGAAGCTGTCACCTCTCTCCTGAGGTATAAATATGTGATCATATTCTACTCCCACGCCTCCTATTTTTGTCCAAAACTATTATTTTCTAGACAGTATTTAAATGGAAGTGACTTGATTGATATGTATAATTTCCGACAAGGATATTTACAACTCCCCTCATCAGGCCGTTCGCTTCACTGAGACAAGCCTGAAACAACACAGTGTCTGTTGTGTTGGTGTGATTGCCAACCGTAGGAGGTAAGAAAGTAGTCTGATGAAGAAGCGCACCAGGGTTGATAAGTGACTGATAATATGCATAAGACAAACTACATGTGCTCATATGCTAAGTCTTCAGGATGTTGTGATCCAAGTTATGGCACTGAAAAATGTTGTTACTTCAATGTAAAGTTAGAATATATTAGTAATAATATTGCCCTTCCTCTATTTAGTCTCACACAAAAGAGCCATTGTCACTATAGACATTTATAATATAGAGTCTATGTATGAAATGGACAATAAAGGAGTTTTACAGGAGACCCTTGTTTTGGGACCCAGGTTGACAACAGTGGGAAAGGTGGCCATGTTGTTTGAACCTATATGGCTTTGGGGAAGACCGGAACATGTCAAAATAAAAGGGTCAATGCCATATGTATGCATAGACGGACAATGCAAACCCCTTAGCTCAAAAAAGCCTAAAAGGCAAGTGCTTATGGATGAAGTCTCGTTCCTCGCTCTAGCTCCTTGATTTACATTGAAGAGAATAAACTCCTCTCACTCTGGAACTGTTTGCATCACACTAACCATTTTGAGTATAAAAAAATCTGTGTTTTAGGCTTTTCATAATCCTGGTGTTTATATTTCGATATTGTCTTTGTAAATCTAGATATTAGCCATATAAGGATTAACCAATCAGATGCCTTCAGCTCATAAATGACACTTCACCAAGGCGGGTGAGATTTCTGAAGATGACCAAAACATGTTTCAGCTGCTGTAAAGCATGCAGCCATAGAGACATGTTATACGTAATGTATGTTTTTCCTTTTACAAGGTAAAACATATAACTTGTCTTTCAAAAGAACCTCAAAAAAACAGGGTTCAAAGAATTTGAAGTAGAACATTTGAAGATATCCAAAAAAATGGCTTGTGAAGTTGTTAAGTCATCTGAACTTTCCAGCATATTATATTTCAACACCCTCTCAGAAGTCATAGCCCAATCTGCGCTCTCCTAAAATGGACCAACCACTAGTGCTGAAATCCAAACCTCATCATCCTCTGTCTGATTTGAAAATTACTTCTGAATGAGAGTCTGGATGAAGGAGGATCACTTGTCCCATCACTTGTGCTGAAGAAGGGCGCACATGTTGTGGAATAAATCTAATATATCCAAGGGGATCATACAACAGGGGGTTGCTTTAAAATGGATATAACAAACTAAAAACATACAAACACTTGAGGATATAATCTAGTGAAAGCTTTTTTTGGGAAAACCCTTTTTTGGTGGATTACATGATGACATAATATAACAACACCCAGCCAATGTACATAAATATAACTTGTGGTGATTTTTCTGGGAAATAATCGTTTTTGAAAATATTTGTTGCAATGCTGAAATAGATTTTTTTCAACATGCAGATTGTAGCAAAAACCCCCCTCGCATATAGAAATACACTTGTTTAATCAGAATCAGAATCAGAATCATTTTTATTGCCACGTAAGTAACAGGAGGTCACAGACTAGGAAATTGCTTTGGCTCAGTGCAACAGTCAAAAAGAGATAATAAAAATAAGAATAAAAAAAAACTTCTAAAGAATAAATGTAAATTTAAAATAGAGTTACAGTTACTATTTACAATATACAAGTGCACATGGTGCACACAATGTAAGGTGACAGCAGTACAGTGAAGTAAAGTGACGTATGATGGGCAGTAAAGTGACTTTATAAAGGGCGGGGGGACAGGTTAAGAAGTGTTCAAGAGTCCAACAGCAGAGGGGAAGAAACTGTTCTTGTGGCGGGAGGTTCTAGTCCTGATGGACCGCAGCCTCCTGCCTGAGGGGAGTGGATGGAATAGTCCATGTGCAGGGTGAGAGGGGTCGGCTGTGATACGACCAGCCCGGCCTCGAGCTCGGGCGACGTACAGGTCCTGCAGCGATGGAAGGCTGCGGCCGATCACTTCCTCTGCAGAGCGCACAATGCGCTGTAGTCTCTGTTTGTCCCTGACTGTGGCTCCAGCGAACCACACAGTGACGGAGGAGGTGAGGATGGACTCGATGATGGCCGTGTAGAACTGCACCAACATCTGTGCAGGCAGCTTGGCTTTCCTGAGCTGCCGCAGGAAGTACATCCTCTGCTGGGCCTTCTTGATGAGGGAGCTGATGGTCGGCTCCCACTTGAGGTCCTGGGTGATGGTGGTGCCCAGGAAACGGAAGGACTCCACAGAGGTGATGGGGGAGTCCATCACGGAGGGTGGGGGCGGGGGGACAGTGCTCTTCCTGAAGTCCACAATCATCTCCACTGTCTTCTGGGCGTTCAGCTCCAGGTTATTACCACTGCACTAGGACACCAGCCGGTCCACCTCCCTCCTGTAGGCGGACTCATCGTTGTTGGAGATGAGTCCAATGAGGGTGGTGTCGTCCGCGAACTTGATCAGCTTCACAGAGTCGTGGCTGGAGGTGCAGTGGTTGGTGTACAGGGAGAAGAGCAGGGGAGAAAGAACACAGCCCTGTGGGGCTCCTGTATTTATAATCCGAGAGTCCGAGACATTCTTCCCCAGACGCACTCGCTGCTTCCTGTCCGTCAGGAAGTCAGTGATCCACCTGCAGGTGGAATCGGGCACGTTGAGCTGGGAGAGCTTGTCCTGGAGCAGGGATGGCAGGATTGTGTTGAAGGCAGAGCTGAAGTCCACGAACAGGACCCTGGCGTAGGTCCCCGGGGAGTCCAGGTGCTGTAGGATGTGGTCGAGGGCCAGGTTAATGGCGTCGTCTACAGATCTGTTGGCTCTGTAGGCGAACTGCAGGGGGTCCGGGAGGGGGGAGGTGAGGGACTTGAGATGGGAGAGAACCAGGCGTTCAAAAGACTTCATGACGACAGACGTAAGTGCTACAGGTCTGTAGTCATTGAGTCCTGTGATCCTGGGCTTCTTCGGGACGGGGACAATGATGGAGGATTTGAAGCAGGCCGGGACATGGCAGGACTGCAGAGAGGTGTTGAAAATGTCCGTGAACACAGGAGTAAGCTCACTGGCGCAGTGTCTCAGAGTGGCCGGAGACACGTGGTCCGGGCCAGGAGCTTTGCGGGGGTGCAGCCTCAAGAAGAGTTGTTTAATGTCTTTAGAGGCTATTGTTAGGCTGGGGGCAGGGCTGATGGGTGGGTCGTTAGAGTAGTGGGGGGTGGGGGAGGGAGAGGTGTCAGGGGCAGCATCAAAGCGACTGAAAAATAAGTTCAGTTCGTCAGCTAGCTTGTGGTCGTCAGCACAGGGGGGGGCTTTGGGTTTGTAGTTGGTGATCTCCCGTAGGCCCCTCCAGACAGAAGACAGTATCGTTGTTACCAAACTGCTCCTGTAGTCATTCTCTGTGCCGGGACTTGGCTGCTTTCAGTTCTTTCCTGAACTGATATTTAGCTGCTTTGTAGCCGCTGCGGTCCCCCTCCCTGAAAGCAGACTCCTTTGCTTTCCTGAGCTGCCGGAGTTTAGCAGTGAACCAGGGTTTGTCGTTGTTATAGATGACCCTGGTCCTTGTTGGAATGATGCTATCCTCGCAGAAGTGGATGTATGACGTCACAGTGTCCGTATATTCATCCAAGCTGTCTGTGGCAGCTCTGAAAAGGTCCCAGTCTGTAGATTCCATGCATGCGCGCAGCTCTTCCACAGCTTCATCAGACCACACTTTGGAGCTCCTCACTGCAGGTTTCGAGAGCTTTAGTCTCTGTCTGTAAGCAGGAACCAGATGTATCATGGAGTGATCTGAGAAGCCGAGGGCTGGCTTGGGAACAGCGCGAAAAGCCCCGCGTACGGTGGTGTAACAGTGATCCAGAGTGTTCTCCTCTCTGGTCGGGCATTTGATAAACTGTCTGTATTTGGGTAATTCCTGGCTCAAGTTTCCCTTGTTAAAATCCCCCAGGATAATAATCAGAGAGTCCGGGTATAAACGTTCCATACACAGTACTTGCTCTGCGTCCGCGCATGGCGGTATGTAAACAGAGGCAAGAATGAATGAAACAATTTCACGCGGGGAGTAATATGGTTTACAATGAATGAAAAGATATTCCAGAGCAGGAGAGCAGTGCTTGGAGATCACTGTCACATCGTTACACCAGTTTGTATTGACGTAGAAACACAGCCCACCGCCTCTGCTCTTCCCTGAGAGCGCACAATGGCGATCCGCGCGGAACAGCCCAAAGCCCTGCAGCTCCAGAGCGCAGTCCGGGATCCGCTCATTTAACCAGGTCTCAGTGAAGCAGAGGACACAGGATGTGGCGAAGTCCTTGTTTCTTTTCATGAGCAGGCTGAGTTCGTCCATCTTATTGCCCAGTGAGCGTACGTTGGAGAGAAAAATGCCGGGGAGAGCCGTGCGCGCTCCTCTCCTCCTAAGACGCACGAGCAGGCCTCCGCGCTTTCCCCTTTTACGGGCCCACACTTTTTTGGCTAGAACATGAACTAAATCAGCCGCAGATGCCAAGAAAACAGGCAATAGGTCCATGGGAACGGTGGGTCGGATGTTCATAAGTTCCTCACGGGTGTAGGAACAGCCAGATGCACAGTTAAAAAGTAAAAACAAAAGAAAAAGAGAGCAGCAAAGAGCCATGTCGACCGTACGAGGCGCCATCTTAAGTTAAGTGGTAGTTAACTCTCAAATTCACCGCAAGAACTGGGGACACAGCAATAACAAAAGTGTGTAAGCAACTATTCAAACTCTTACATTCTTACAAATAATACAACATACATTTGACAATTGTACATTTGCACATATAATAATAAACGCACCTTGTTCCTCATCAAAGGGGAAGCTAAAGGACAAAAACACTTTTTGTGCTCCGTAGAACTTTTTTTCTGGGTGTCCTTCTGTTGCTGTGCGTTGCTGTTAATGGCTCGTTTCTCGCCCTAACATGCAAAAAGCAGGAAATAAAATGCTGAAATAAAATATTAATAAAAAAACACTTTGTGGTTATTTAGACAGATTAGATTTTACATTCTTTTTGTTACATGTTATTACTTTTTGAATCTTAAGTATTTTCCGGTTCTCGGATGATTTTATGTTTTTGTTTTTTGGGTGAAATCACATCGGATGCTTCGTCCACATCTGTAATTGCTGTGGGGCACACTTTGTAGAAAGTGAGACTGCAGTGAGTAATGTAATCTCCATGTTGAAATGCCCATGTGGACTGGCCTAAATCGGGATCATGAGCAGGCCTCTCAAGACTTGCATTGCAGACCACAGATCAAACATCGGAAATAACGTTGAGTCCTGTTGCATAACATGGAAAACTCAATATGAGTGTGCTCAGTTATCCAGGCATTGAACGTTCAAATGCATACAGTAGTGTCCAGTGTGTAGGGCCTTGATGTGGATTTGGATCTGAGACCGTTTAACTGATTTATTCTCTAGAATGTTGGCATCTTTACTCCAGTGTTAAGGTAGAGTAACTTAATCCACAGTGCTGTGTTTTGGTGCTTCTGTTCTGTGTAATACTGTGAGATACTTTTGTGTATACTGGTTGCAGTGGTTATGTACTTCTAATTTTTCTCTCACCAGCATTGTTTTGGTATGGTATGTTTTTTTGCTCATTATCTCATGCTTACATGGTCACATGAACAAATGTGTGGCATATGTAACCGGTGTGACTGAACTGCATCTCTGCTGACAAAGGACTCATTCCCACAACATTGCCAGCAGTAGCTTGTTGAGTTGTGAGGCTCATTTCTTTTTCATTCCATGGTATCTACTCTTTTGGCCCTGCACACTCATATTTGAGAGTGAATGTCCCTCCACCTTTGACCTTTGTATAAATCTATCAAACCGCTCACATGTAAAGGTGCCTTAAGGCTGCCTCAAGAAGAAATATCAATGAATATGAATTGAAAACCTTGTGTCTTTTCACATTTGTTATGCTATCTTAGACAATTTTTTTTAAATTACAACTCATTATTAAAATAAAGCATGAGAAAAATACTTGCCGGATTAGACAAATTTGAATATCTTCCCCTTCAAATTGACAGAGCGTATTGCTTTGAATTGTTAGTGGCCCTACAAACTGCTGATCGTTCATTACTCTGAACCTGTGGATATAGTGGCTGCATTTTCCCTTTTGCTGAAGCAGAGACTATGCTGCGGCAGCCAACGCTCGCACTGCTCGGGCCAAGTCGGAATCTAATTACATAAGCGCCAAGTATTCCTTCAACATTGATCAAAAGGTACTTCGGGACGAAAGCCACTCAGCACATTTGCCTCACGTTTTATATGAAGCTGTACACCATTTAAGAATATATGAATACATCTTGAGGATTGATGTCAAACCGTGAGGAAACTCTTTTTCTTGATGATCAAAATGCTGTTATTTGGCCTGGAAGTATGGTATTACAAGTATCCATCTATGGTTATCTATAGCAAAAAACCCTCATTATTAGTGGTAGTGTGAAGCCATTTATGGTCAATTAATGTGTTTACTATTTTACAAATTAACGGCAACAGAATCTTCTCTTCCTGCCCATGGACTATATGTAGATCGACAATGCCGCCCTGCTCAATGAAGCTCTATGAACCAAAGTACTCATGGTCAAAATTTGGCTCCTATTGACTTACGTTGAAAGGTTAACAGCTTTAAATAATCCATGGTTTAGTGCACTCTATGATCCCAATGTTTATAATGGCAATGTCCTTTCCACAGTAAAGGACATTTTCAAGTTAAGTCTGAGAAATTCTCCTTTTTGTTTTCTACTTTATTTTCCCATGGATCCTCAAAGAGCACCTGACTACTCACGTTTACCCTGTATTTTTTATTTTATTTAGATATTGTCTTTGTAGATCCAAATATAGCTATACGAATTGACCAATCGGATACCTTAATTCACGGGAGAAATGTTAGCAACACGTCTGCCCCACACATTGCGTGTGTTGTGATTCCTTCAGAAACCTGCACTTTAAAGCAGTACTAAGTAACTTGCGCTTAGCGCGCCCTCTAAAGGTCACTTTTGGTTATGTCACTGTCGTAAACACTCCGCACCCTCCGCCGCCTACCCCACCCCACAGCTACATGCGCACCTTTGCTCTCCCAAGACATACAAGGATAACATCGTTGAACAATACGAACAGATGTCTGATGAGGTGGGTACAATCAAATATGATCTAAAAAAAATAAGTAATGTAAACAAGTGCCAGTTTGTCTTTCCAAAAAATCTATACATTTTCTCCAAAGACGACTCAGCCTCATCATGTGTACTGCCAATGTTTAGTTTTGTAACTGTTTACAATACTACAGGAATTACTTTCGAATTCATCATCATCTGATGAATTCACTGTTCAAGCCATGGGTGCTGGCGGTGCGAGGCCCAAGACCGGAGCAAGAAGTCGAGGTCGCGGGGGGAGGAGAACTACACGACCTAGGGACCTGACTTCTGACGATCAAAGAAGGCTGCAAGCTCTGCAGAACCGACGTATGGCTGAGTTACAGGTATAACTGTGCTACTAATATTGTGGTACTGTACTGTATTATATTGCCTTTAAATATCTTTTTACCTTATGGTTCACATAATACACATATATTACATGTATGCTTATAACACACTAGTACAACCTATGAATGTGTTGTAGGAAAAAATTAAATCACTGAGGCTGGAGCAGAGAGACATCCTTCTGCAGAGGGTTGTCCAGAGGACACCTGGGATGCTTTTTGACATTCTGTCCCTACTAGAGAATCCACATCCCACCCGTCCCATAACTGCTGTCAACTGGTGCATCTGCGGAAATTGTCGAGAGATGAACACAGATATTGAAAAAAAATGCTGCAGACAAACCCCAGAACAGTGCATCAGCAACATGGCGCACATGCAGTATTATGTTTTTGGATGAGGGAGTTTTGCGTTTGGCCGCAGCTGCTTGGAACGATATCTTTGCCCTTGAAGACAATCCGCAGCCTGGTGAAGAACATCGTTGTATGAGACATACTGCTTATCGACAGTATGTCCTCTGGCAACATGGACGTCTTGGTGAGGGCAACAGAGTGGTCATTCCCAGCTGCTGTGTGTGGAAAATAAGAGACAAATTTCCAGACCCTATGGAACAGTACACTGGATTCAAAGTGCGACGCCTTGTCTAAATTATTACACTTTTACAGTTTTTGATGTTTTGTTCAATAATAATGTACATGTTATAATTCAAGTGACATTTTATTTAGAAAATAAAGCATTTATAAAAAAGCCTTGTTATTATATTTACATTGAGTACTACATTATGCACACGATAAAACGCCATTACACTGTCGCATCATCAAGTCTTCTTGGACCAGTATCCCCCCGGGACACATGTGCCCTCACTAGTTCTAAGGTGGGTGGTGGCTGCACAGGAGCAAGTACACCCAGACGTCTTGGGTCATCAGGGTGCATAGTTACTCGACGGGGAAGGCCTTTACCACTTTGCAGCCTCACAGCAAGGATGGCCTTTTGAATCTCTGGGATGTAGGAGTAGGTTTTCTTTTCTTTCATTTCGTATGCACTCCATGTTGTTGACTTTTTGTTGTAAGACTTTCGGTACCTAGACAATGAAAGTAATATTGAGTGAATAGCAGAAATATGCAAAGACCTTACACAAAATTTCGCAGTAGTAACTTGCATTTTCTGTCCTTCCTTGTTGCGTGCAGGCCTGCGTCGGTTGTGTTTATTGTAGTCTATGGCAGCAAGGCAAGTCCGCGCTCTATAAATGTCCAATGTGTAGGACATGCGCTTTGCCGCATACATCAAGATGTGATTTTGGAAGTTTTCCAAGTCTGATGTAGATCTGTGTGAGAAAAAGAAAATAAAATAAAAAATGCTGAAAAATACAAAACATATTGTGTAGTGCAGGGGTCTCCCACATTTTTCCTTGAATCAGAAAAGACAAATGTTTTGCAGATGTGTATGTTCAGTGTGTTCCTCAATCATTAGGTGCATATAATTTTGCAAAAACCATAACACTGATGACTCAGCAAGCTTAGGTAGATTATGTTGAAACCTTTGGGGTGCTCATATGAGACACTGGAGAGCTAGTGCTAACTTATCCCTGTTTTTAAAGAAATAAGTACTTACCTGAAGTTTATAAACTTCTTCACTTGAGTCAGCCATCTCTTCTCAAACACAACTTCTGTCAGTACCCGATGAGCTTCAGAACCTGCCAGCATGTGTTAGTACATAACTTCATAATTTGCCCTGATTGAAAAAGGAAAAAACTACCTGGCTTGATCCAAGGCTTATCCTGACTCTCTTCAGCAAGTGGTTCATGTTCACAACTTCCTGTTGCCCAAGTGTGTTTATTGCAAACATGATGAATTACTCCAGACCACATCATCTGCCCCCCCAAATAAAAAGTGTAAATAGTAATCAAGAAAAAAAGCAAGATACACACCCAAAAAATGTTGGGATGCTTTTTGACATTCTGTCCCTACTAGAGAATCCACATCCCACCCGTCCCATAACTGCTGTCAACTGGTGCATCTGCGGAAATTGTCGAGAGATGAACACAGATATTGAAACACAGTACCTTGAAATGCTCCTCAGTTTGTGCTTGTTTGCTGCAATACCAGAAATGATTAACTATGTCCTTTGTCCACACAATGATTTCCTTCTGCTTCTTCTTAGTTCCCACCTGTTCATGGTACACAAGTAGCATGTTTAGTTTTAGGCATGAACAATGATCAATTCCTACAATATGATAATAATCATAAAATGTTTTAGTCAACAGTACATAGACAATTACTACTTACTCGACGCAGCTTCTTGCTGAGGCTTTTTGCAGCATGCCAAATGTCCAGGGAATGTTGAATTCCCTTATATTTGCCTCGCACAGGGTCTGTAACACATAATGTAGCGTCATCACATCCCAGCTGCATGCAATTTACGAATAGGTTATGTGGTCCTTACGAAGCAAAGCGGTAATCTGTGGGTGAGCATCAGTGACCACCTCTTTTATCTGCAAGTCAGGTAGCAAAGCTTCCATGGTGCGGCAAAAACACTCCTTCTCCATGATCACAGAGTTCCTACCAACCATCCTCTTGTCTATGGAGTCAATGTAAACAATGTCTCTCGACAACTGCTCAATAGTGGTGTAGGTGCAAAAATTTGCACAGTGACCTGAGGCATAAGAAAAACGGTCAGCAAACAACTATCCAAATTGAGCTGCTGAGATTACAAAGATTACCAGGAGAGTCCATTCTGCCATCACCTAGAAAATAAGATAAAATGATAAGCGCATACTGTGTAAAGGCTAAAAGCTTAGATACATTTGTATCACAGCCATAATGTTATTAATTCTTTGAGCAAATAAAAGTGCACTCACCAAGGAGAACAACACCATCTTCACGACGCAAGCGTCCAATGACTTCCGCTCTTGTTTGTTCCCAGTATTTCAATACAGGTCCTTTGCAATATGCATCTTGAATCCTAAAAAAGGTTGACTCTGCAACCATTCCCATTCCCATAAACTTGAAGAGGAGAGCCACCTTTCTGTAGTTGTTGCCTGAAAGTAGTATATTTGCAGATAACATGAAGTCACCACCCTGCATTTTGAATTTTAGTGTTGGCTGTGAATTCCAGCTCCACACCAGATGACCATTGGGGCATAACTGTAGTAAATAAAAAATAAAAAATACAATAGCGTTAGGGCAGTACAGTTAGTCATTTCATAGAAATACATAGCATTGTTCAACATCTTACCCAATTCAAAACCACTCCAGTCCCACGAGGTTTTAACACTACCTGAAAAGGTTGTACACCAGGACAAGGCTGACCAGTTAGTTTGTCAACATAGCTGCACTTCTGGACAGGCAGTCTCAGATGTGTGGCAAGGGAAAGGAGGTTGTCATTAAATGTAATATTTGCTCTTTTCCCAATTAGATCATCCTCAGTCTCTACACGATCGTCATCGGGTAAAAGATCCAATTCTTCTGGATCATCTGGGGTATCAAAATCAAGGACAGCCTCATCCACTGTTATTTCTCTGAGCTCCTCTATTCTCGTGCCAACAGTTCTGGGAAAGATATTACTTATTTATTATCATATCATCATATATCTAAATAAATAAATAAATATCTATATCTATATATATATAGTTAATTATGTAGTTAGTGAGGGGAAATAAAAATTAAAGTACCGCAAACATAGTGAAGGGACAAAGTCCTCATCAGAGTCATCTTCAACATCTAAATTGCCAGGGTCATCCCAAAAATCGTCCATCTCAATGCTGCATCAAGACAAATATAATAAAAAAAATTATTGAAGGAGTGCAATCTGAATAAATGGAAAAGGAAATGTTCAACACTTGCACTGTGTCTTTCAAATGGCTAGTTTCGCCCTCATCTGGAGAGTCAGGAGGATGGTCTTCTGCTATGCTCATGGAGTGCATGCTACAACAAAAGGCAGATAGCTATACAAGAAATATGAGATTCAACACATACACAAATAACAAACAAAAGTAACCTTGTTTCCAGTGCCACCACTTCACTCTCATCAGGCAAAGGTTCAACACCAAGATCTTGATTGGCTTCGCATCTGGTAAGATAGATTGTTACAAATCACAAAAACGTCAAAATAAGCTTTAGATACAGTTATGAGAACATACTTATCCTGATCAGATTCCTCTGTAATGCTTGAGACGGGTAGAGTCGGTGGCCTTGTTTGCGCTTTGCTCGGTGTTGACGTTTGCCAACGATTATAACTATTAGAAGGAAAAAAAAATGAAATGTCACAGTTCTCATAGAGAAAGAATTACCGATGTGTAAGTTTTTGACACAGAACATGAGGCTTCAAGCTAGCCTTGCCCTGGTCGTGACGTACTGACAGTTGAAAAGCTACTTTCACAACTTCAGTTGCTGTCAGCAGATTTGCAAGCATAAAATATTTGCCTGAAGCACTCCTTTATCAAAATGCAGATCTGCAAACATACATAGTGTCCACCTGTGTCCAGCCCTCTCCTCGCTGACCACGATCGCGCATCTAACGCGGAGTGCGCACGGAGCCATAACCGGTCAACTACACAGTAAATTATAGTTATCCGCAAGTTGTGCAAGATCACTTGTACATTCACACGTTTCACGCGGCTATTGTCAAAGCTACAGTCATTACTAGATTCGTTTGGTGCTAGATGGTAGCCATCTTGCTAGCATCTGCTAGCAAGATGGCTACACGCGGATGTTGATACATTTGAAGGGCAATATATCACAGAAAATAATCCTACTTTTTCGAATAAACGTTACTAATAGACGTTTTCAGATGAAGTACTTACAAGTCCAGCAACAAGATCGCCAAGTCTGCGTCCAATTTACAGCCTTCTTTTTCTTTGAGCTCTCGCCATCCAGCAAATGCATTCCCCAAGTTGATTCGTTTTTGCGCTCTGTGTCGATCCGATTCCTGTTTCTTTTTCCTCCCCTCCTCGGACAAAGGTCTTCTTTGCCTTTTTTTTGCTGGCTCCGCCATGATAGAAATGTGAGAAAATAGAATTTATACACAACCGTGAGCAGCCGCGGAGCTGGTGACAGTCTAAGATGAATGTGTATTGGGCTGTCGTAAAGCAGTTCGTAGTGCCGCGAGAACGAGAACAGAGCTGCGAGACTGGCACCGGTGCGGAGGCAGGCAAATCTACAAATGTGGTTTTCTGGCCAGAGACAGCAGGGGGAGATGAAAAACTTCCCAATCATCCCATTAACACTTGTATTACCCCCAGAGGGAATATGAAAAGGATTTATTAAGGTAAATAAGTTACTTAGTACTGCTTTAACGTCTCGAGGCATTTTGTGGTGGTTAAAGCCTACACGCATTCTGTGACACTACAATTTAATTCAATTCCTTTTTTTCTTGTATAGCCCTAAATTACAATAGTATCTCAGAGGATTTCAAGCAGTTCAAACACAAAAATTACAGAAGGTTGTAGCTCTGTGCGGTGCAGGCCTGAAGGAGCTCCCGGCGGGGAGGGGGTGCAGCCCCCGAGGCGGGTTTGGGCAGTCTGCGGGTGCAGATGAAGGGGGCCGGGTTCAGGGGTCCCATCGTCGCGCCATGAAACAGACAATGGGACAACGGTTGAATAGCAGTGAACGCACTACAGTCAAAATCCTAATAATGCAGATAAAGTAGGACGTAGGAGAGGATAGGGCTCAAGTTACCTTATTTCTCCCAGCAAACTGAATTTATATGCAGCTTGACTGACAATCTAAGAATTGTAGTCTTCCCTGAGTCTTACCTACCCAACTATATGCCAAATTAAATCTTTTAAGCCTGGCCTTGAATGTAGAGACTGTGTCTGCTCCCTTAGCTTGGTAGCTAAATGCTCTGCCGCCGACAGAGCTTTTTGAAACCTTAGGAACCACCACACGTCTAGGGTTTTGCAAGTGCAGTCCTCGGTTTGGTGGCTATAACGCTAACATGTCTTGGAAGTAGGAGGGAGCCATGCCATTTATAGCGTTGTATGTTAAAATAAGGATTTTAAATGTTATTATATACTCCACAGGAAGCCAGGAAAGTGATTTTAACACTGGAGTTATGTGCTTCCATCCCTGCTGCTGTATTTTGAACGAGCTAGAAGCTCATTATAGAGCATTTAGGGCATGCTACCAGCAAGCCGTTACAGTAGTCAAGCCTTGAGGTGACAAAAGCGTGGATTAGTTTTTCTGCCTCACTTTTAGGAAGGACATTCCTGATTTTAGCGATGTTGCCCAGGTGGAAATACGCCGTTTTACAACTCCAAGATTTCTCACAGTGTTGCTAGGTGCTCTGCAAACATTGTCAATTGTGATTATCTGATCGGCGAGGGAGTTTTGATTCACACTGACAAACTGAGTCTGATCCAATAAATAGGACTTAAGGATTTTAGATATACAGTAAAAGTTGGTTTGAGATTGTCTGTAGTTTGGGACTTATTCTGTGGGGTAAGGTTACTGTCAATAAAGACGTGCATGTCTAAAAAAAAAAAGGTATTTGTGCATACAAATATTTTATTAATTCATGATTAAGATAATACAAACTAAAAAGACATGGAATTTTGTTACTAAGAATAAAAAAATATAAAACTGTATGTGTGATGAATATTGTGAATATGATTTTTGTGAATATGATTTTTTTTTGTGTGCTTGCATTTTCTTCTTTGAGAATACGAATTTCAGCAGTCAGCAAACTGTCAATATTACGTCACTGCTCACAGGCATTAACAATCGAGCCTGCGTAGAGTTGATCAACTTCATTGTCACAAAACTAAACATGGCAGAGGGCAAGAACATCAACAACGTGGCTCAAAATCAGATATATAAGTGTAGTTTATCATTTTGGTCGTAAATGAATGTGTAAGAAATATTAATTCCATAAATGTGTTCATAAAAAGATGTTTCTTGTCCCTCTCTAGAAAAGTTTTTTGGCAGTGTTGTTAGCTCCAATGCTAGGTTTTCTTTTTATTCTGGTTTTTTTTTACTCTACAGAAAACAATGCGTTTATTTTAGTCCAAACAACAGACTAACTATTGTTACTGAACTAGTGAGTAAAAGTAATGTGTCAAATGTACAAATATAAGATTGAGGCCCACAGGGACAGGGTCTGCTACGTCCAACAACCGAGGATGAGTACAGCACGGAGGTGAACTTCATATTGTTCAGGGGCAGTAACAGCGCAAACTATGAATAATCTGGAGGGTTGAGGCTGGTATCAACACATTAACCACATTGATGAGGGACAAAGGCTTCATAAAATGTAAATGCTAAGAATGTGAACATGTTGGTTTTAAAGGAACATGGTAAGCTGTAAAACTAGCATTGAAGCTAGCCTTAACTAAACACTGCCGAAAAAAACGTTTCTAGAGAGGGACAAGAAACATCTTATGAACACATTTTATGGAATTAACATTTCTTACACATTCATTTACGACCAAAATGATAAAATATAGTAATATACCTGATTTTGCGCCACGTTGTTAATGTTGTTGCCCTCTGCCATGTTTAGTTTTGTGGAAATGAAGTTGATCAACTCTGCGCAGGCTCGATTGTTAATGTCTGTGAGCAGTGACGTAATATTGACAGTTGAAATTCGTATTCTGAAAGAAGAAAATGCGAGCACCGAAAAAAATCGTATTCACAAGTACGAAATCACACATACAGTTTTTTTATTCTTAATTACAAAATTCCATGTCTTTTTAGTTTGTATTATCTTAATCATGAATTAATACAATATTTGTATGCACAAATAGCAATAAATATGCACACATTTTTTTTAGACATGCACGTCTTTATTGACAGTAACCTTACCCCATATAATTCTGGATCAAGGTTTTTTTGTTTTTTTCAGAGGAGGTTTGATTACTGCGGTTTTAAAAGCTTGTGGGACATATTATATCTAAGACAGGCTCTATTATTAGAGGAAGAGTTTCTTTGAAGAGCCTAGCTGGGATTGGATCTAAATTGCAAGTTGAGGTTTTAGAGGATGCCACTACACTTCCGCTTGGCTCACAGCCATGAACTCGTCCAAGCTCAGTGGGTCTAAGTGGGACATTAATTTTACCGCTGGTCTGTTCATCATTAATATTAGGAGTGGTTTTATCCAGTTGTTGCGGTTGGATGTAATTTTATTATTAATGAAATGAAGAAAGTCGACACTGCTAAGTGAGATTGGTATTTTAGGCTTGATTCCGCTGTGGAAGTTTGTGAATTTAGCGATACAGTAAAAATCCTGTTGTTTTCTTTTTAATTACATTGGACCAGTTTATGACCAGCAGTGATGACATCACCATTATGACAAAATTGTGGCCATCCATTTTGCTTGGTCAGTTGTATCCTCTCATTCAACCTCTTGTGTTTGGGGTGGATTCAGTTGAGTTAATACGATGTTAACAGCCAAATGTTTTTGCAATATATATTTGTCAAATGCTTGTGTTTGAAGTAAGGGTTAGGTTGATTTGATTATCTTATTCTTTTATATAACGCACATTGATATTTAAATTATGTCATAGAATTATAATGGTTCTCAACAGAAACAGCCCTGTGATAGTTGTGAAACAATCAGGCCGCAACATGCTGTCTTCATATTATTAGAAAACAATGTATCTTTTGCATACTTGTGACTGGGAGTCACTATTAACCTGGTTAGGCTAAGTGAGGGTGTCCACCGGGAAATATTCATAAAGTGAGCATAACAATGATAATCATTGATCATTACTGATTAATGTCTGCAATTAGTGTTTGTTCTTTTATTATTTATTTATGCAAAAAACGCAAAATTTTATAAATATATATATATATATATATATATATATATATATATATATATATATATATATATATATATTAGGGTAATAATTTATATGTATTAGGGTAATAATACTACAGATTATGTTATGAGAAGAATAGTGCGGCTAGTCTTCAAATCAGAGTCTGGCCGTCCTATTCGAGTGGGGGATCTGCTTTATATTTATTTAGGCACCAGCAGTGTATGACACACTGCACAGATCCAAACCAACTTTGCCTCGAGTCAGTCTTATAAATCTAATAGGTAGTGAGTACTTTTATCGGCCAGTGATATTCCGAGATCTAACAACGCGACTCTGAAGGGGTTGAGTTAAAAAGGGTAGTTTATTGATTACAAAAATGAGGGTAAAAATATAACGAAAAGGGATTTCTGGTCACATTAAAAGCAGGAGTTGTACACATATCATTCAAATCATACATTTAACAAAGGAACAGTCTTACTTTGAAGGAGCGTAGAGGGAAGTGGGTGACTGGGATGAGGATGGAGTGAGTGGAGGATGAGAATGAAGAATGGGGTGGAGGCGATGTCGTCCACGTGGTTTCTTTGTCCGGGCAGGCGGGAATTATGAAGCCAGCGACGGCAGTCCAACTTTGGATCCAGGCGTGCACACTCAGTCCGGAATGAGTCACGTGCGCAGAGTCCAGAGCCAGGGCCGGCTGGTGATGAAGAGTTCATAAATCCCAACCAGAGGAGAGTATGTTTGGCGGAGTAGAAGGCCCGATGCGTGCTGGCGCGACCGTAGTAGGAGACACGTGCCGCGGGACGCCGATGGCCAGGGAGGTTGGAATAGTGATTTCAGGAGAAGGCAAGAGAAAGAACAATGGCGTGTGGGTGCTCATATAGGCTTCCCAGGGGGCGTGTCCATGCCGCCCCTGCCCTCTGTGGACAGACCCCTTTTACAACAGACAGTTTGTAAAGGAAACACACAGGATTGATGCTAATAATCATAAGACATGTACAAACACACACCGTATTTCATTACTTTGACATTGATACACACATATGGGGCACAATGCAGATTTTGGAGTACTGGACCCAGGGGTACCGGTTCGCAATTGTCCGTCCCGGGTGTGATAGTGTCCATTGT